AGACCGCAACGCATGCATTTTGTGTCTAAAAATTTTCCTAAAACCCCCATACTCCAAATACTCACAATCCTCATAAACATTCGCCCACTCACCCCGAACTATGCTCATTTTATGCAACCCTCCGAATCCATCCTCAGAAACCTCTTACCCTCAAGATATTTTTGGTTGAGCAACCCAAGCATACATAATCTAGACAATTACAATTTATGATACCACATTGGAGCTCTTTGGAATTCTTCACTTGCTTGATAATTTGATCTTGGATAACTTTGAATTCACCACCTTTGTTGTTCGATTTTTTGTATCTTCAACTTTTTGGATTTCTTCAGAATTTTCGATCTTATAACTTCATACTTAACTTTGATGCTCCAAAAATTCTTCAAACTTTTTCTTGTAATTCTCTCTTTTTTTTATCACATGTACCTCACTTTTTTTCACTCAAATCCCTACATGCTTAAGCAGGGGCGCTCAACTTCAACCTTTATTGGCTAATGATAAAAATTTTCCTGGATACATTTCAGGTTTAGGCTGCTAAACATATTGCATCCCTCAGGCTGAGCAAGGTCGTGTTTTTGTCCCATGATTTCACTGGAATAAGGAAGCCACAAATGCACTAGAACGTATATAGGCTCAACTAAACATTTGGGTTATCATGCAATTATCAACACAACTCTAACATGGAATCCTAATTTTTTTTTACCAAAATTTTCTAAATAAATCCTAAGTAACACTTTTGGTATGCAAAATTTTAAAATTAACCTAAATTAAGACTCTAGATTTTCTATTATGTAACCAACCCCCTACCCCACACTTATTTGATGCAATGCCCTCATTGCATATTATGCCTAATATAAACATAAAAATAAACTAAAGAGGGAATTGGAACAAACTCCCATGGGATAGCAGTGGATAGGCTGATCACTCTCATTTAAGCTCCAACTTCAATCAACTTTAGACATGGTAACATCTCATCCATGCCTTGGGTGTCAAAACTCGTGTGGGTCGCTCCAAATACGCGGAAATCAGTGTAAGATCTTCAAGAATGGATATGGAAGAATAATTGAGCAAGTAGGACAAGTAGCAGCATCAAATCAGCAGTCCGTCGGTATAACATTTGAACGACCCGTCGAGTCTTATGGTGGACTCGTCGAGTACCAGCGCGCCTTCTCAGAATATGTAGAAATACAAGGCGACTCGTCGAGTCAGCTTAGTGCACTCGTCGAGTAGGCCACCGAACGAAAAAAAACTTGGTATTTTGCAACTGTTTTAGCCTCTAAAAACTTCTCTAACTGTTCCCCTTGTTTAGACTCAATTGCTCATACCCCCAAGGACCGGACTCGACACTTTGACGTTAAAGTTCCACCTCCTTGACTCTCTTCCTCACTTTGATTCCATGACTCTAAACCCATTTGAAGCTAGTACTCCTAATTCAATTCTGAAAGCATCTGAAGGGTAAAAGTTCTGCAAAGATCTGAAACATTAAGAGCATCAACATGGAAACAAACCAAAAAAAATTAAAAACTCACTAAAATAACTAAAAAAAACAAAATAACTAAAAGGATATCACGATCACATGTCTTCGTCAAAATCAAACTACAATTGTTGATTAAATCCCTTGCATGCAAGAGGTGGTTTGTGAAAACAAAAACTTTCGGGACCTGTCAAAACTATTTCCTTTGTTTTCTTTGCACCATTAACTAAAAGTAGAACAAGAAGTGACCAAACTAGTCAAGAACAGCAAGAGCTCGGTCTTCCACTTAACCACCATGATACGCCTTGCTATACTACGCCTCGTGGATTGAGTTGGACAAATCACCCAAAGTAGTAGACTAAACAAGTCAAGAATTCCCTAATCGCTTGCAATCTCGAAACCCATGCACAAAATTCAAACCAAGCAATGTGTATGATCACGAATTCCTGCACATAACAACAAAAACCTTCCCGACAAGTGAAATGATATCAACGAAAATAAAAAAATAAATAAATATATAAATAAAAATAAAAAAAAATAACGAATAATCAAATAAACTAAATTAATTGAAAACCGTTCCCCGGCAACGGCGCCAAAAACTTGATGTGCACGAAAGTACCCATTAATTTTAATATTTATAACCTAATAAACTTAGACTAACTATGCACTTATAGGCAGTGTACCTAGTCAGATTACAGTATAGCTTAGGTAAGTCGGGTGTCGATCACAGGGAACGGTGGATTAATTTAATATATTTAATTATAGGTTACATGTCACACGAAAAGAATAATTTAATAAATCTCAAACTAATAATCAATTAACCATTCTCGATAAACTAACAGGAAAAAAAAATCTCTCTAGGTACTTTGGTTTAGACAAATTACACCTTAAAAACATAGACAATTGCATACACAAATTCATTTATTCATGTTCACCGATTCCTAAAATGATTAGATTCGCGTTCACTATAACTAATCCTTTAGCAAACAAGTCAATTCAAACAGTGATCAGTTGATTAAACTAACATGCTTCCTAGTATTCAGTTCGTATCAAGCAAGACTTGTAAATATAGTTAATTTAAACATTTAATTAACCTCTTGTTGATGGTCATCAAACAAGGCTCACACATTAACTTACTTATTCCCAAGTTAATCTTAGTTTCACATTCGTTATTTCTAGTCTTATAATCTCGATGGTCATCAAAAATCATAAGAGACAAGCAAATCAAGCAGATGTTCATACAACTTAATTCACTTAACAATTAATAGAAAATAATCATCATTAACACATGAGGATCTTTTAACAAACTTGGCAAGATAAATTAAACACAAATAAACTATTTAATATAGCAATTAGTCTAATAATCAAAGCTTCATTCAATCATAAACACAAAATAAAAGGTTTTTACACCTAAATCAGAAACTAAATACAGAAAAGTACCACAATGGAATGCTAAACATGGTCACGTCAGCAATCCATATGATAACCAACATGTATCCGCTCTCCAATCCTTCCGTTCTTCGCTCCCGTTAGCTTAACGGCCTTCCGGCCGCCTTCTAGACTCTCAAAACGGCTTAACAGAAGTTAATTGTCGACTAAATTAGGTTAGAAGTCCCCCCCAATCGATCTGTGGAATTATCTTTAAATATAGCATCCGACTCGTCGAGTCAAGTGGTGACTCGTCGAGTCCCTCTCACATTCCCCGTATTGCGATAACTCTCTGGGATCCCGAGTCATTATCTTCTCGATTCTTCGATTGGACTCGCCGAGTAGACAATCTGACTCGCCGAGTCGATGCCTTTTTCAGTGTTTTTCTTCTTTATTCCATTCTCAATCTTCTAACTGTTTCTCCCGCTTCCTTTCGCTTCCGAGCTTCATCTCCTGGACTGAAAAACATAATTTAACACTTTTAAGTACCTTTTGTCCATAATATGCGATAATTTAGCTAATATATGAATAAATAAACTACACTTAATACACACTAAATATGCACATATCAGACATATTTTCAAAGTTAACGGGCACCGATTAAAGCCATTCTATGAAAGTTTTAATGCAAGTGTTATTGAAGTCATCCACTTGGATGTCCCGGAGTGTTGAACCAAGCTAGAAGGACGTCTCGCCTAAGACATTAAAGAGAGGCATTTTTGGAAAAGCTTTATGCTTTCGTGTTTCTACATCCGAATAAAGAAGTTTTGAAAATGTTTTGATGTGTCTTTTGAAGTCATTTTTGAAGAAACCAAGAGTTTCTAGGTGTTTGGGGCATTTGGGATCAAGAACTTGTGAAGAAACGGAAGAAAACAGAGAAAAATCGATTTCCAGGAGCAGGGGTCTGCGCGACCCGCGCACGGGTGCGCGGCTGGTGTGCGCGGCCGGTTTTCAACATGCAACAAAAAATAAGCACCAAACTGCATGACATGCGCGACCCGCGCGCCCCCTCTGTGCGACCCGCGTGCTGCCTTGACGATCATCCCATAATTTGTTGACCAGCTTTGACTTTCGTTGACCATTGTGGTTTAATGAGTTGACCAACATTGACCGGGTGTTGACCACACTTGAATATGGATTGAAAACCTCCAGCAACTCTCCTTCTTCATTTCATTCTCTCAAAACCCTCTCATTCTCTCTCAAACTCTCAAGAACACATACACCCACTTTTCACAAAAATTTGATTTCCCGGAGTTCCACCAGTCGGAATACGACGAGACCACCACCATTCTTCACCATTTTCCGTGCTCTACAAACCCCACCTAAAGTTTACTCCGATCCATCGCCGGGTCTAGGGGCGCCACCACCACCCAACTCGCCGCTTTCCGGCCATTTTCCGGCCAACTCCTACCACCTCTCGCAATTCCGACACCACCAAAGTGTTTCTTTTTCAGGGATCTTTACATCTAACCAAACAAAACCTCAAAATCTCACCAAAAATTTTCCCATAATTTGTGAGCCACCACGAGCCGCCGCCGGATTTTTCACACAAATCAAGTTGAAAATATCCTTTCAATGAACAAGTCTTGCGTTTAGGCACCCACAAATAACCAAAGCTTGGGGTGCACGGTAGCGGATTCCGGGCTCAAGTTCAATTTTGGGATAATACGGGTATTCTCTTTCCTTGGTTTTTACTACATTGCATTGTTTCAATTCGATAATTGCATCCAATTATGCTTTGGAAATTGCCTAAGATCGTTAGTTGTTGCCCGGTTTATTTGGAAACATTGATTTGAGAAAGGTTGAGATTGATTAATTTGCTTGGGAATTTGTTCAAAAATTGTTTAAACTTTGGTTGGGATTTTCTCATTTTGTCTCGTATTGCTGCCGAATTTTTGTTGGGATTATCAAATTAACCGAGTGGTGTTGTTGAAATCATTTTACATTGTCAAAAGTTGGGTGTCATTATTTCTTGGATTTTTTTTTTGTGTTCAGTCTAAAGATAGTTGCATTAATTTGAGAGTAGTGAGGTGAGGGATTACGTTGGTGAAGTTGTTTTTGATATTGTAGATTTCGAAAATGGGCAAAAACACGGCTCGGACACGCACCCATGGATCATCGATCGATCCTAACCCGCAAAAGGATGTCGCCGGTCCATCACGCAAAGCAGCCGGTAAACGAAAAAAAAGAGGAGAAGAGGGAAGCGATCCTTCCCTTACAAATGCTGAGATCAAAACCTATCGCTCCAATCTTCGGGGTCGCGCAATCCGGCCGACAAAATTCTACCATAAAAAGTCCATGAAAAAGCTTGGGGTGCATGATGGTGTATACCATTTGTTCATAAAACTCGGTTGGCGTGGTTTTCTTCGACTTTGTGACAGAACTTACGAGGAACCCACAATGGAATTTCTTAGCACATATGCACGAGATGATGACACGGAAGTCCTCACATTCCAGTTGAAAGGGGAGCATCATAGACTCACATACGAAGAGCTTGATTCTATCATGGGTATAGACGATCCATTCCGCATCAGCCCCCAAAATCAAGAGTACCAAGATTTTCTGCGTTGCCCTGATGCAAACTTTTGGATGCAAATTTCCGGTCTCCCAACCTTTAACCCAAGCCGACAGCGAGCCAAGCACATCGTTCACCCCTGTTGGCGAATTGCTCACCGAGTCCTTACGACGAGTATCTTCGGGCGTCTCGAGCCCGGTCAAATCAACAGATGTGAGCTATTTTTCCTCCGAAGCATGAGGCGTGCACTCTCCCTCAGTTTTTCAGGCTTCTTTTTAGACAAATGTGACTCCATACGCCAACGTTCCTCAGGGGAAATTTTCATCGGGGGACTTATCACGATCATAGGTCGAGCCGTCGGCCTAGACTTCCCGGATCCCGAGTACATACCTGTCGACACCCCACCGAACTTCCTGCTAGATTGTGACACTCTCATCCGGATGGAGATGTTGCTCGATCAGGGAACCCGCACGTACAGTTGGTTAGACGCTGACAAAGCCCCGGTTTACATCCTGCCAAGTTGGATCGGTTCTTCATTCGATACAGGCGACCCCGACACTTGGCTTCCTCCAGACCAGTTAACCCAAACAAGTGTATTCCCAGAATTCGGTGATGATGAGGGTGACGATGCAGAGGAACAAGAGGAAGAAGATGACGAAGAGGACGACGAGATGCCCGAAGCTGAGGACCATTTTGACCAGCCCTCGATGCAGCAGCCGATGTTTCAGCATGATCAGTTCCAGGCCCCTCCACAACATTTTGACCAGCCGCATCAGCAGGAGGGACACGAAGTCCCACCATATTTCCCCCACACGTTCTTTGACCAATTTGCCACAATGTTCTCCACGGTGCAGCGTATCGACGCCCAAACGCAAGAGAATTCAAGAGCCATCCTAGATGTGGCAAGCCGTGTTGATCGATTGGAGCAGTTCTCCTCTCACACTTCCCGCCAGCTCCAGGATATGTGGGACTACCACCATCGCTACGGGCATTTCCCGCCGCCCGACCCCCCGATTTAGGTCCTTTCTGCCCTTTCCTTAAGCATTGAGGACAATGCTTATTCTTAAGCTTGGGGTGGGGCATTTCCCTTTTTTTTCTTACTCTTTTTCATGCATTTTTAGTTAGGTTGCATAACATATTAGTTTAAGTTAATTTGCATTCATTTTTTTTATTTTATTAAATTTTAAAAAGATTTTATTTTCTTCTTTTCTACTTTTTATTTTTGCATAACATTTAGCTTAAGACATTAGCATTCATGCATTTTTGTTGTCTGTTTATTCTCACCTCTCTTGGATGCCATGGAACAGGTTCATAGTTATTGTATCATTATTGGTCCAGGATCTTGTTGCTATCTCACCCATCGAACCGGGACCACTAGCTGCAGTTTGGGATTTCATACTTGGGATCAGATGCTGGTAGCTTAAAGGGGTAAGTGATCATGGACAGGTAGTTTTCATGAAGAATTATGCATACAATACTAACAACTGTAGGATATACTATAGCAATGGGTGTTCTTAGCCTTGCGGTCACTACCGCGGAGAGGATCACACTTGATCATGTTTGAACTGTTAGGATGAAGCATTGGTGCTTGTCCCCGAGTAGAATCCATATCCGGTCTCTTTACATCACCATATCTTTTTGCGATTTTCTTAGAATTTAGAGAGTCTTTTAGTCCACATTTGGACATTTTCATTATCTTTGAAAAACCACAAGTTTGAAAAGGAGCTTACATTACATCTTTATGCTCCACACATGGTCATTTTCACACTTAGGCCATTCGGATTATATCATTACCCTTTCGGTTCCACCTACACACCTTTGGGAACCAAATTTTGAGTCAAAGGGTTTACTTAATAAAAAAAAAAAAAAAAAAAAAAAAAAAAAAAAAAAAAACAAAAAACAAAAAAAAAAAAAAAACAAAAAAAAAACAAAAACAAAATGAAGCATGCAAATTTTCACTTGCAACTATCTTAGATAGGTGGCCGGTTCAATTATTGAACAAATTTCCCAACATCTTGGTCACCCGACGTTTGATATTCATTTGTATACATCTGTTTTATTGTATATAGATCGAGTTGTTATTTTTTTTTTCTTTCTCACAAATTGGTGATGTTAGAGAGACTGTCGAGTCGGATACTACAGGAGGTTTGGGCCAACACTAAGTGAACTGATTCCTACAACGGTGCCCGAGCGATTAAACCTAGTTACACATGAGAGAAACCGGCAGATGTGAGATCAGAGTGTGCACTTAAAGAAGAGCTCCACCCGAGCCCATCCAGTTGCTTTCTCCCTACTACAGATGTTCTTCATTGTATACATGTTCCATTGAGGCTGCGACTGCTCATCCCTCCTTACTCACCTAAAGGAGTTGTCCTGGCTGTGGTTTATGGTTCCATTGTCATCGGATGAAAAAGTTGTGAGATAGCAGCGAAATCAATTCTGACCATGTTGACTAACGTCGGACAGGTTCCATGGTTCTATCCATTCTTTTTATTTCTAGGGTAGTTCATCCCAAGTTCATTTAGTCTTGTCTTACTTGAGGACAAGTAAGGTTTAAGCTTGGGGTGATTTGATAGCTTCATTTTATTTACTTCTTTTTATAGTTTATTTTAGCATATTTCATTCATAATTTAGATAATTTCCATGCATATTTTCCTTTTTGTTATTTTATGACTATTTCGGGTACTCTCGAATCTTGTGAGCATAATTGCAGGTTTTCGGGTCTAGCGGAGCGGGAGTGTTCGGGACGTATAGGAGGCGATGAGATTTGGTAGACAAAAATGACGTTGGGCTTGATGGGTAGTGGAGATGATGCATGGAGTGATCTTGATGATTATTTGAAGACTTGGAGAGAAATAAACTTTAAATTTGCAAGATGCGGGGGAACATTCAAGCGTATGAAAATTATTAATCGGGCGAGTTCACGAGCTTTGGAGGATTTGGAGAGGTCAAATTGGGCTTTAAATGAAGAAAAACTTGAAGAAAATGGGCTAGGAGGTGATTGGATTCGATCTGGGCTAGTGGGATATGCTTTAGAGGCCCAAAATCTCAAAGAAGCCCATGTCAGGCACCACCCGCGCAGCAGCACGCGGGTCGCGCAAGGCCCTGCAGGGGTAGTTTCGGAAATTCTTCTTTTGAGCTATTTGAGGAAGGTTGGTGCCCATCTTTTGCATACTCTTGAACATCCGATTTTTGGAGATTCTCTCTGGAGTTTTGAAGACTTTTGAAGGCCAAGAACCCTTGAAGAACATCATATTTTTACCTCTTGATTCTTGCTTAATGTTTGGTACAATTTTCTCTAACTTTGTTTCTTTGTGTTTAGCCATGCTTGGCTAAACTAATCTTGGTTGACTTTTGGTTAATCCTTTGAACTTTTGTTGAATGTTGAAGAATCCATGAACATGTTCTTGAATCTTTATGGAATGTTTTGTGTTTTAACATCTCATCATTACTTGTATGTTTTAGTTCATGAGTTTAAATGTGTTTGTGGTGATTAGTTGGCTAATTTCTTGATTAAGTAAAGGATCCTCAAATTAGCAAGCAACAAATGATTTTTGTGTTGTTTTTGCTTCACACAATCATAAAAACATTCCCTCCAACATGGTGGTGAAAGCATTTGACCCCTCTTGGATTTGGTGACTTTTTGGTTCTTAATGCTAGTTGACTTTCACTAATTACATGCTATTTGGAATTAGTGACTTTGACTAAGGAAATTGTTATGAGCTTCCCTAGCCATTTCAACAATTAAGAAAAGTCTAGGTAATCTCAAGCTCCTTGGATTACTATAGCCAAATTGAGGATTTAAAACAAGTATTGCACCATTGAATTCTAATGATATGTTCATCAAAAGTCAAAGTGAGAAAACTTTAAGTCAACCATCTTTCCCTTATTGATTTTACATCAAATTCTTATTTTTGTTGCAATTGTCTATTTAAATCATAGTTAATTCTAGTTAGTTTCAAGTATTTCAAAACACCAAAACCCCCCATTTTATTTTTATTGTCATTTTACAAGTATTTTTACAAAGAGATTTTTCATAGAGTTAGAAATTGAACCAATCTCCGTGGATTCGATCCCTTTACCACTATACACTATTTTAGTGTGTAACATTTAGGGTTATTATTTGTGTTGACCTCGACAACCACCAGTAATTCCAAACACCCTCTTAGTTTGAAAACTTAGAAACCAAGAGTATCGTTAGTAAGAACATAAATAAGGAAACAACTTGTGTGGTTTTACTTGAGTGTGTTTTGATGATAATTGGTTCTTCCTCGCTATTTTAAAATTAATTAATTTGATTTTGAAATTAGGACCGTTTATTTTCCATATTTAAAAAATATAAATTTATTTTTCTTAAAATCAAAGATTTTAAAAGGTATTTCAAAGGGGCTGTTTGTTTTTTGTAAAAAATCTCTTCTGACTACTTATTGTTGCGTGGCTCAGCACGCGCGCAACACTTTGCATCCCGCAACAATTTGTTTTTTAAAAGTCTTCAAGTCTAAAATCCTGGCATACCTTTCTTCCTTCGACGTCTGCATCTTCGATCGACTGCTTCATCTTTAATTGCAGCCTCCTTCGTCGGCGTAGCTTCCTTCCCTGGCTCATCCTCCTCCTCGTTCCGTCATCGCCGCTACCGTTGCCGCTGGTCAGTCGGCGCCTTCATCAGGTAAAAAAAATTTGTTTATTGTTGCTGAAGCAACGATTCTTTCCTGCCTCATCTTATTTTTTTCGTTTTTTCTTGTTGATATCTTTGTTCTTGTTTCTGATGTTTTCAAATCTTTGGTGATATTGTTTTTATCTTGAATAATGATAAGTTCTTGTTAAATGTCATATATCCTACTGAAATGTCGTTTTTTTTTTTTTTCTGATTCATGATGCATTATTGCTAAAATGTCATAGTATATTGCTTAAATGTCATATATTATTGCCGAAATGGTATACTGAAATGTCATCGATTGAAGTTCTTGTTATGTTGAAATATCAAGAACATTTGCTGAAAAATCCTTTAGTTTCATTAATGGAATTTATTGTTATGCTGGATGTCTACAGAGTAGGATGGATGTGTATACATCTATTGGTAATAATTTAAGAGGAAAAAAAGTTGTGCAATATAGGTGCTCGATGAAATGCTTGAGAGAATATTGAAGTTTAATTTAATTGCATTTCGTTTGGTCTTGCACATCTCTAGTAACAAATGCAAACGGGCAAATGGTTTATGCTTGTAATGTGATGTATTTATGCTCTTTGAAATCACACTTGCATTTATGGAGCATGTAAAGCAAATACAAAGAGGAGCCAAGTGAATATTGCTCAAAAGTGTTGAATCAAATTTTTGTGAAGGAACTCCGAATCAAGAGCAATTTGAAGCAATTCACAATGATGTTATGTAGTCAAAACAATGTAATTTTAATGTTAATTCATTTTATTTGTAAATAGTATTTAATAGGATTGAATATTTTTATAAAAAAAATATAACGAATTTTATTTCAATGTTGTAAGACTATAATTATTATAAAAAAGTTGTGTTGAAAACTATTTTAATTTTGTAAAATTAGTTTATTTAAGTTTCAGTTAATTGCAGCAGTGTGCAGAGGTTAAAAAACAAACAAACATCTTATTACATGTTATAGCCGTTTGGTCCACTTCTTCTGTTGTAGAGGGTTGCAGAGGTTGTCCGCAGATTTCTTGAATTTGCGCTTCGAAAAAACAAACAACACCTAAATCACCTTAAAGAGGGGTGTGTGATGTTCAAGGTTACTTATAAGTTATATCTAAGCTTTTATCATTTGACAAAATTGGCTCTTAACTTTCTATATTTCCAAGTTAACCCAAAATTATTTTCTTTGTTACATAACTAGTCTTCTAATTCAAGCCTAGAATCTTAATATTCTTACAATTAAATAAAAAATCTAGTTAAATAGATTAGGTTAAAAGTCATATCTTAGCTCTAATGGTTGAAAAATAAACTCCAAATTTAAAATTTTTGATTTTACTTCTAAGTTATATATCTTACTTAAAT